AATGAAGTTCCCGCCATTTCATTTAGTTTCGAGAAAGTCGCTTGGGCTGTCCACGCATCGCGCGAGTAACATCCTCGGAAGAACTGGGTACCATGTCTAAAAGTAACTTAAGATGGATTACCTTAGGTAGAGGACCTATATGGGAGATTCACTCTCTTACCTTATAATCGTTTGCCTCATTTAGTCCAAAAATGCTGAATTTCTCAAGCAACGATATAAAGGGCGGTAGATCAGTTAGGTCAGGTCAGTTAATTTCCGTACAAGTAAGAAAATTATATTATTCTGTATAAATCTTTCCTGCATAAATCTTGGCCAATGTATTGATACTCGTTGATACTCGTTGATGCTCGTGCATAAACTTTATTGTATTGTGTATTGTATCGGGATACACTTTACAGTTTTTGAAGGATTTTTTTTAGTTTTGATCTCTGTAGCCGTTTCAGAGACTAGAACGAAAACGAAAAGTTAGTAGAAGAAATATGCATGCCGGCGTGCACGTTAACTTTCTACCTATCCCAGAAGATCATCGTTATCCAATTTCTCCGCAAGGTATAAGGAGGCTGCTATTAAGAATTCAAGAAAAGATCACAAATCAGATGTGCTGTGAGATGCTTTCAAAATACCGCAAAGTTACTAAGAGATTTGTAAGAACCTGTGAAAAGAAAGTCTATTTCTGTTACCAGAAGCAAACCAACATTTCGTGACGTTGAATTCTGCGGAGAATAATTCCGTATGGAATATATATGGCGACTGTCCTTATTCAAAATTAACGACTTAATTAGTGTAGGAAATCGGTCTCTTTGAGAAACAATGAGAGATTAACAGAAACTGTACGCGTGAACAGATCCGACTTTTCACGATCAGTAATTTCCACGAGTGGCTGCTGCAGGAAGGTACCAAAAAGTTGGTTTTGTTCACGCGTACAGTTAATCCCTAATTGTTTCTCAAACAGACCGATTTCGTATACTAACTCCAAAACAAAGAAATGTTTGTATCGGAAGATGATAAGCCACGACA